TAAAGAATGAACTTGTAGCCAACGCCCATATTCCACTTTATGGAAAATTAAATCCTGAGATTGTTATCAAAAAAATCTTGAGATTTACAGCCGTACGATTTGGTTCCCTCGCCAAATTTTGAACTTAATTTTACCCTAAGCGCCTCACCGATTTGAATAACGGAATGCAAAACGCACTGCCAATAATCGGATTATGCTAAAAAAAAAAAACCAATAGCCCTCGGTTTTATACCTTTGAACAAAGAGCTTAAGAAAAGATTCGAAATCGTTCATAGATTCATTAACATTAGATCACAACATAGTCGAAAAAACGTTATTAAGAAATGAGATGCTAGAGCAATCTGTCAGCTTCATAATATTAAAATAGACATCTTATATAATACATTAAAACTCCATTTCGACTAGCCGTATTTGACGCATCTGGTGACATCGTGTACATTGAGCAACAATTGACAACAACGGAGAAGACATGTGCATTAGTGGAATGATCACGGTGTGAGATAATATCTACAGACGCAGAGAAGTGAATATCTGAGTTAGAGCTCCTTGGCAACAAGTTCAGGGAGGAAGGTGTGAGATGTCTCCCAAAGTAGAATCAATTTTAAAGCAGTTAGAGACGAAATCAAATTATTGAGAACGTTAGCTTATTAAGAACAGCTGAGAACATATCCAAACCTAGCAAGATTACACGTAGTGAGTTTAACAATCCTATTGCTGAGTTTCAACAAGAGCTGCACCCGATGTGACCGGTGCGATGAATCGGTTAAGTCGTGCCTTCCGTAACAGAGTCCGTGTTGTCTTCTGGGCTTTCTTTTGCTTTTTCACCCGCTCCATTAAATCTTGCCCTCGATGCGTCACTCCATCACTTTGGTCCATTTTTGACAATAGAGATTCCAAATCGCCTTTTCGGATTGGCTTCACCGAGATGTCCCGCACAGCTCGGAACTGACCGCAGTTGTTCACATGTTCGTTTTCAAGCCGGAAATAATTCCAGACAAACCTCCTAAACACCTCCGCTGGTGCAGTGACTGTTGTGAG